ATAAATATATGTGACATTTTTTGTTGTGATAATTTGTTATGTATGTATGTGTATATATATACACACACACACACACACACACACTTAAATTTACATTTAAACTACATTATTGTAATGTTGAAAGCAAACGTTTATTCAGTAATCAAAGCCCTAGTTTTGCCTACAGTTAGTAAATAATTTCCAAAGCTTAGATGAAATGATGAAGAATTTAATTTACTGTTCATAATTAATGTGGTAAAAGAACACCTCCCAACAAACAAGGAATAAGATTGATTGTGAACCCAACACACTGAAACAGTCCAACTAGTAACATCAATATGAATGATTAATTCTGGAATTAATTACTACACTTTATTCTGTCAGTTAAATACCTTAATAATATTTTCTTCAAAGAACTTTTCAAATCTTTCTCACCTGTATGACTTCATATGTACAAGTGGACTGCTGTAATGAACCCAGTTGGATCGTAATTTCAGTCTTTCACTATCATCAGTTGACTCATCTTGTGAAGGAACTCTCACTTCATCATCCTGCAAAGCAACTTATGTCTTAATAAGCTATTCTGCACACGTACTTCCGCTACCATCAGAATAATACCATTATTAAGCCCTTTTATTGCTGGTTGAACATCTTGGATTCAGTTAACAATTAGCAGTGTAATAAATAGCTAATGAGCTACTCAGTTAAAATCTACAGCTTATTATACACTTTTCCTCAAGTTTCAAACAAGAACACAGCAAAAATAATGATAGACTATAGACAATCCTTAAAATACAGGTCTGACTGATCAGTATAACTTTAATTATGACTTCTTTAATCCAAACCATGTGCACTTTCTTTTGATCATTTGCTGTATTGCTTTAATGTTGTAGCCAAATACTGTTATACATCTTCTTAAAGAATGCATCATGGGGTACGTAAATGTAATGCTAGTCATTCGCATTACAGTGGAAACAACAAACAGAAATGTTCCATTACATACAGTCATATTTAAAAGAACTCCTATAAAGGATATTGCTAGTAAGCTTACTATCTCCATTCAAAACATCTTATTCAATTTCACATTACAACAATTTCAACAATACCACATTTTTATAGTCGAGATAATTATGGGGAATACAGCTGCAGAGAAACATGAATGGAAAGTACAGTCACTGAATGCATGATAAATGCAAATTGAAAAGGGTTTCAGAGTTCAGACATTAATATTCTGATTAACATAGTCATAAATTCAATGTTTCAAATATTTTCACAAGCCATATGTGGTTTTCATGCAATACTGGTGTTGAAATATTAGTATTTTATAGATGAGTTACGCAGTCTTCATGATGAACAAGTAAAGGTGAAAAGAGCAGCAACTGCCCAGTTCAGAGTTACACTTGAGGAGAAAGTCTTAGAGGATTAATCTACAAAAGTAGCTCAAGTGTAAAGGACAATGACTTAAAAAGACTTCTGCTTTCAGGTTTGACTTGAAGATGAAATACTAGTTAAAATCATAAATAATATTTAACGTTAAACTGGTACACAATTAAAAACATTTTATTTAGCCCTATCTTTGGCCTTCAAAAAGTTGATGACTCCACATGTTTCAACGTTACAACATCATCTTCAGGAGTGAATTATGTTGTAATGTCGAAACATGTAGAGTCGTCAACTTTTTGAAGGCCAAAGATAGGGTTAAATAAAATGTTTTTAATTGTGTACCAGTTTAACG